TGCAAACCTTTTTTAATTGCAAATCAATTGTTCGATTATATCGAACATAAAGAGATACAAATCTTGATTTTTCATATTCTTTAATACCTAGCTTAAGCTCATTAAAATTATCAAAAATATCTCCTACATTTATTTTTTCTTTCTTTATAAAACAATAAATTATTTGCAATTTTATAAATTTATACTATCTCAGGTTAACATAAAGTTATGGTTTTACAATGTAAAAGTTTTAAAAAGTTTAACTGAATATACAATATAGAATGTTTACAATTGTTTTTATTTATATACATTTTATTTATATTTTTATTTAAATACATTTTGTTTTTGTGTTTTGAAATTTTATATTTTTTTGTATTTTTTTTTTTTTTTTTTTTTTTAGCTATTGTGCGGAGAGATGTCAAAAACTTGGTAGGGTTTAAAAAAAATTTATATATATTTAAAGATAATGTTCAATATTAGATTAGAGTATTTTGAAAAGAAAGATTTTATTAAAGAAAAAATAAATAGGTAATAAAGAAATTTACAGGACTTTTACACAAATGCCACTATACAATCTCTACATATAACACACATATGTTAAAATAATATTTCATAAAATAAAGGTTGGCAGTGATTGTCTAATCATAAATAACAATATTTTTGTTGTAAATAAAGCTTTCCAGAGAACAAGAGGTCTTTACTAAACATTCAGTTCTGAATTATAAGCCAGTACGTTAATTTAGCTCATAAGTTTAGTTTTAGTTTCCCATTTTCTTCTTGGTAAAATACATTATTAAAACAGAAAAGCTGACAGAAAAATGTCCGCAGCGTTTTTACGGACATGATAATTATATTTTAAAGTAATAATAATTCTGATGTTCCTGATTATTACCCTGATCACTGCCAACGAGTCATTTTTTATGTTACTAAACGTGCGGTGGCATTTGCTGTTCCATATTGCACTCATAATGGTTTGGGTGAGTTTCAACAGCAGTTGCGAAATAGGGTTCTTCACCAATAGATTCGCTATCCCAATCGAGAAGATAGAATTTATCGGAGAGAAATTTGTTTTGGGGTGTTAAGGACTTATACACATGTTTAATATACTCCCATATTTCAACAGAAGAAGGACAGTAGGCAAATATGTGGATCGTGTCCTCGATATCACCGCAAGTTTTGCAATTATTGTTTTTTACAATCTGTTGCCTTGTGCTTTTGGCTAGCAAGGCCGCACAAGGTAGACCGTTGTGTAGAAATCGAAAAAGGATATTTTGTGTCGGTCCGCATGCGTGGGAGGTAAAGTTTTTTTTCCAAATTTGGGCATTGTTGTTTTTGTTGAACCGTTTCAGAAAGGTTCTGCTGGCACGACTGTCTTTTTGTTTTTTGCCACTTCTAGATTAAACTTTTTTGTTGATTTTAGGAGGATGTTAAAAAGGGCCTCGTTTTTGCCTAATATTTCAATTGTTGTTTTGTAGTACTGAGATATTTTGTTGTCCCAGTGTTTTGGAAAATTGTTCTGTTTCAAAAAGTTCCAGCTTTGGTTTTGGTTCGTAAACTTTATAAGTGAACTTGTTACCCAGTACTTTAAAAATTAGTAGTAATCGTGAGGTTTATCCTCTCCGCATTCTTTCAGTTGAAAGTTTAGAGGCGAAGTGCAAGGCTTTGCTACTTTGGTTATAAAGTTCCGAGACCCCTGTTTTTGACGGGTAAGAAAAGTGTCTTTCTTTTGATCGGATTGAAATTGATCTTTTGCCACATATTTTCGAATATGGCACTGTATAAACGTTCTATTACCCATTCAGGAACGGGCAGCACGTTTGCTAGAAACAAAACTTTTTACATTGCTAGCGTATTTATCAACATAGTCTTTCCCCTAAGTGACAAAGTACGTAGTCCCAGAAACTTGAGTTTTTCCTCCACTTTGTTAAGAGTTACTAGCCAGTTGAAATTGGTAGTATTACTCAGTCTGGTGTAAAGCGTAACACCCAATATTTTAAAACCGGTGCTATTGGTCCACTCTATGTTATCCAATTCTGGGTACATTTTAGGATCAAAATCCCCAAGGGCGAGGCCCTTGGTGTTTGAGACATTGATCACTGAACCACTTGCTTTTTCAAATAGTTTTACTGTTTCGGTAAAAAACGGACTGATTTTATGTCCCTGGCAAAAAATTCGAGTCGTCTGCGTACTGTTGTAATTTAAGGGGTTTCGGTGTTCCGCGTATTATTTATCCTATACTATATCCTATACTATATCCTACATCCTATACTATACTTATACTACATCCTATACTACATCCTATACTATATCCTATGCTATATCCTATGCTATATTCTATACTATATCTTATACTTTATCCTACATTCATTCTACTAACAATCAGCGCGGATATTACAAACGATTAAGTCGATTACTTGTTAGTAAATTTTATGTAATCAGAAGCCGGTTTTAAATCATCAAAGGCTAAGAAACCGGCTGCTGGTTTTCTAGTTGTCAGTGTTACGTAATGAATATAAGTTATGTCATCAGTAAATTAGCTAGAACCCAGACCAGCCGGTACTCTAGATGCTAGAGCTAAGTAATACAAATAATACTAAATAATACAAATAATACTAAATAAATGCAATTCATAAGTTTTTTTAATAATAATAACTAATATATAAAAGATTAGAAAAAGATCTTGAAATATAGATTAGGACATATGAAGAGGATCAATTGATAAAAAAATCTGATTAAACAGGGTAATCAACTTATCAAGCAGAGTGAGCATAAACTAAAAGAAAATGATTTACTACTCGGTATAGTTAAGGCACTTTTAAAACTAGGTATCTTTATTGATCTATCCTACTAGATATCCACACTATCCTACTAGGTATCCACACTATCCTACTAGGTATCCACACTATCTATACATACTAGGTATCCACACGATCCTACTAGGTATCCACACTTTATTGACCTATCCTACTAGGTATCCACATACCCGCTGCAAAAAAACGTTACCTACCCATAAATCTGCTTAAAATATTTATTAACCAAATTGAGATTAAGAGGGACTCTGTCATAAAGCTTTTAGGAGTCTACCTTGATGAGCACATTACATGGAAGCAGCATACTGATCGCGTATGTATCAAGATCCTAAAAATATTGGAATTTTATATAAATCTAGAGATTATCTAAATATAAAAAGTTTGACCCAACTCTATCACTCGTTTATCCATAATTATATAAATTATGCAAATATTGCTTCAGGAAGTGCTGGGAAAAATAAGTTGAAACGTCTTTTTTCTCGTCAGAAACACGCAATTCATATTCTTAATTTTTCCGATCGTTTTACTCATTCTAAACCTTTTACTTAACGAAATGAGAATATCTAATATTTATGAAGTGATTTTATGTAATACTCTATGTTTTGTATATAAAAATGTGGAAAATTTTGTATATATTTGTGAAAAAATAACTTATCTCCTGACGTTTTTAAAAATATTTTTACTTTAAAGCCAGACAATAAGTATGCACTGAGAAATAATAATTTGCTAAAGTTTTATGTCGAACCAAGTTTAATCAGCTTTGTATTGATTATCGTACGTCTAATCTTTGGAATAAAATTAGTTTGCAAAATTTTGATCTGCCTTCCTCATTTTCTGTTTTTAAAAGTAAGCATAAAAATCTAATTCTTTCTATAGATAACCTTTTTCTATATTACTAAGAGTGTTTTGGGTTTGTCTACCTATTATTAAAATTGAGTTACCTAAGTATTTAGTTGCATTAAGATTTTACTGAAACTAATAGCTATGAATAGATGTATAAATATTTATTATTTGAGTTTGTATTGTATATTGCTTTATTTTTTATATTGCTAGTGTGTTTAAATTTTCAGGTTTATTTTATTTTTTATTTTGTATTTGAAAAAACCAAAAACAAATTTTTATTACGGTTTTTATAACACTGCATTTATATATGTATGCTGGTATATATATAGGTGTATATGTGCTGTTAGTATGGGCGTGTATGGGCTTAGAGTCTATGTATATTAAAAAAAAAAAAAAAAAAAACAACCCAGCATTCATTTTTTTTTTTTAATTATCTTAAAATTACAATCGCTTGTCCAAATTTGAATAAGATTTTAAACAATATGATCTGTTCTGATCGTTTATTGGCAATTTTTCTTAATTATAAGCTCTTTCTTGGACGGAATTCTAGTATTTTTGTGAAAATTGATAGTAATATTGTGTTTTGACATCTATATATAGTTAATATACGTAAGAACCGATTAGAACTAGGATTAGTAGTAAATTAAAGAACTTTTTCAAAATAATTTAACTAAATTCAAAGTTCACATCCAGGCTTTAGCCTGTAATTGAGGCTATTGGCGGTTTTATTTTTTGGCTTGACTATACTAAAAAAAATTTATTTTTGAAGACTTAATAATAATTTTTTATTCTTTTATTCTCACAGTTTTAAAGTATATTTTTTCAATAGCCTAAAACGATATATTTTGTTTAACATTGGGACAGTCTTTAAACAAGGTCAGATTTTAATTTCAAGCTCGTTTTCTAGTTCATTCCACTATTTCCATCATCCATCTTGTTTCCACTGGTAAAGTTTATCAGTATTTAATTTTTTTTATGTGTTTAAAACAATTGATATATTAAAAAAAAAATGTTCAAATCTCATCGAAAAAATCACATCAAAAGTCTCGATGATTTGCGTCACACAAACCTATTTTAAACGGGGTTTTAAATTATTGTAAAATTACAATAATTAAAAATATTGTTAATTTAAACCATAACCTCTAAAGACTTTATAATTAGTTTTGTAACTTAAATAATAAAACGGCTCAAGAAATTATAACTTACTGAAAAACTGTATTATATATATATATATATATATATATATATATATATATATATATATATATATATATATATATATATATATATATATATATATATATATATATATATATATATATATATATATATATATATATATATATATATATATATATATATATATAGTTCGTTTAAGTTAACTTTAAAAAAAATGAAATACGCATTAATTATAATAATGTTCACAACGATTGCTTTATTGTCTGCTTCTCTCGAAAGAGTATATGGTAATCGTAGACTCGGTTATGGATGTTATAAAGAACAATGCTGGTCATATTGTGGCAGATCCTGGGTAAATATGGTGCATATGATATGAATATGATATGAATACGTAAATATTACATGAATACTATTTTATGGATACTATTGTGTGACTAATGATATGGATGATATTGTATGACTATTAAATTTAGGTATCCGGTGATTGGTGTTACACAAATAATCATTATGGAAATGGACTGAAGCCATGTGATGCTGATTACGAATGTTATAACTTTGTTGATAAATGCATTTCAGCCTGTGGCAGATAAAATACTAGTTTTTCATTTAAATTAAAATCTTTAAATATTTTTTGAAAAATAAAATACTTTAACTTATCTTAAATATTTTTGTCTATTGTTTTTTCTTGTTGTTTTGTTGTTGTAACAAATAGGACGGTCCTCACAGCAACCCTTAACAGAATTAATGACGACTCTTTACGGATGTCATAAGGAACAAAGTTTTTTTAAAAAATTTGATATTATCTTGTTTTACTTATAGAGCTATGTTTTAGAAAAAAAATTATATCATTATTCATATCATGGAGGCGTGAACTTCCTGTTAAATGCTCTCCCGCGGTGCTCTATAATAAGACCGTAAGGACTTCTGGGAGCACCTAAATACTTACAAAAAAAAAAAAAAAATTAGATATCATGAGATCTAAAACTTTTATTACTTTTTATTTCTTTATGATTTGTTTTATTTGTTTATTAATACATTTTTTTTTTTTTGTAAAGTGTTAAATTGTTAGACTGTTGATTACATGGTCTATTAATGGTGTAATATAGGCATTCTCATGTGGCGGCCATAAAAGATAATTGGCTAAATTTAATCGCCATTAAAGATTGGAAGCGCATTTCGCTTACAGACAGGACGCATAAAGAAATAAATTAAATTAAGTATGAGTGACACAAAAAACACTTTTCTTTAATTTGAGAAAAAAAATTCAGAAAAATTGGAAAGATTTTTTAACAGTTTACAAAGCAGAAATAAACAGGTAAATTTCACAGGTAACCCAGTGGGCACGGGTCGTAAAAAAGACGTTTGTAAACTTCTTTTGAATGTTTTGGGCGTCTTTTGAACGTTCAAAAGACGTCATTTTTAGGTCCACTAGGAAGTTTCATCACAATATTTTTATTTAAAATAAAATATAATTTTTTCAGAAGTAGAAAGAATTATGAAACATTTATCAAATAATAATATAAAAACACAACCTTTACTAGGCCAATAATCCACCTCTAGCCTGTACATACAAGTTGGGTGATGTATTTTATGATCCTATTTTCAAAAGTTTCTAACCGTTAAAAATTTGTTTCTAACGTGTAAGAATCTAACTGTTAGAATCTAACGAGATCAACATGTTCTTATAATTTATTTTATAACAGTAAAACTATTTAAATAACTACTGTTACATAGAAATATGAGCAAAATAGTGATTTATGTACATAAAGATTAACATAATAATTATTATGTTAATCGTTATCACATTTTTTATTATATAACATGTTATAGATTTAACATATAACATGTTAAATTCAAAATATATAATATGTTATACAATAAAAAATGTTTATTATGTTGATATATAGACTATATTCCTAATAAAATTTACATAATCCATAAAAATATAGACAATATTCTTTGCTAAGACGTCCATCATTAATTTTGATCACTCAAATTACAATAACTACGCTTCTAATTGGGCTAGAAACATAAATTTGGTATCAATGGGCATTATTTGATAAAGCTTATAACTAAACATACTGTGAATTAAAAATATTTAGTTTAAATTTTTCAATGTAACTACCTAGTATAAGGTATTTAAATTTATGCAATGTATGTCTTTTTATGTGTAATGTATTTAAATTTATGTATTAAAGCAAAGAAGTTCGTAAAATTGAGAAAAAAAAACACCAACAATAGTGAATAAGAATAGCTTAATGTTGAGGCAATCCAAGCTCTATCGTAGCAGGCATAAGTCGTGCAGCCGTGGTGCAGTGGTTAGAGTTCTAGCTCAGAATCCAGAGGTCCGAGGTTTGACGCCAGCTCTAGCCCAACAAGCGACATGGTTATGTAAGGAAGCGTGAACTGTTAATTGCTCTCCCGCAGTGCTCTGTGATAAGACCGTAAGGACTAGTGGAAGCACCTAAATAATTACAAAAAAAAAAAAAAAAATTTGTTAAAGAGACTTTTATAATTTTGTAAAAAAAAGTTGTAAAAGAAACTATAGTTTTGAAATCTAAATTTTATTTAATTTTACTTCTATTTTCTACACTTTTTTTCTTTTTCGTATCATTTTTTTGTTCATAATTGTTATAAATTTTGATTTTTTGAAGAGAACCATTTTAGAGATTTAAGAATTTAAGAAGATTTTAAAAGAATTTATTTCAAAGCTTAAAAAAAAAAAAATTTTTTCAATTGGGATAGATTAGGGTAATATTAGCACCTTCAGCAAAAATTGGAATATTTTCAAAAATAATTATGCTGGATTCGAATAAACAATTTTTAGGGATTATTATTCATGATCCACTTAGATATTTAGCCACCCGAAATTTTTCTTAAAAACACATAGTTTTTAAAGAAGTAGCAAAAGTGCTCATATTACCCAGACCACTTGGTAATATGAGCACTTTAAATTAGCTCTAAAAAATACTGACCTGATCTAATTAACATCTTTAAATCCGAATCAATATTCAGAGCTCTTATAAAATCGGGTATGCGTTTTTGTCAACCATTAACCATAGTACACTTGTTCAAATCACTGGCTGTACCGAATTTATCATACGGGTTAGAAATTTGTTGTTATAATAATTCACTTCTTAATAAACTAGACGCTGTTGGAAGGTCAGCATTAAAATTCCTATTTAGTATATCGAAGTACAGCAAAAACTACCTGCATCCCTTCTTTAAAATTGATGACATATCTACCATCCTTATTCGGTAAAACGTTGCTACGATGACGTAGGAGAAAATATAGCGGCAATTTTGAACCATTCTTTTGAATTCTGGAATATCAGAGAACAAAGACTGGTATTTACTAAGTTGATGGAGGAAAACATCCCAAGAAAAATTTAAATTTTTTACACTGAAAGTATAAACTATTAGTTTTATACAATTTGTTTTTTTACCTGTAATTTGGGTGTTAAAAAGAATAGATAAATAAAAATAAATAAATAAATATTACTATGTTTTCCGCAAAAATAAAATAAAATTAGTTTGTTATTTATTTAATTTAATTAACTCAAACTTTTGAACGATAAAAACTCAAATTTTTCTGTAATTTAAATTACAGAAAAATATTTAGTATTGTTAAAAAATTTTTTTTTACTATGTTTTGTTTTTATTTAAAAAGCAATTCAAACCACTGCTATTTAAGGACTTTAAACTAGTTTATTTCAATGAAAAACACTGAGTAATTTAAGCATGCTCATATTACACAAAAATGGCATCTTTAAATACAGTCAAAACTAGGGTTGTTAACCGGAGGATTTCGTGCAATTCCGGAAAAACAACATTCTTTCGTAAGGAGATTGAGAACGAGGAATTACATTTTTTCGTACCGAATGTTACAAAACATTTAAAATTGCCGATGTTCATTTCGCAAAAGTTACTTCCGAAATTTAGCATTTCGCAAGTTGAGATACGAAACAAAACTATTTTGCAACATACGAAAGTAGCGGTCTCGGAAGTCGCACTTGCGAAACAAACATTTTCGCCAAACGACGTTTTGAAGTTTATAAAGAAAATTTGTTTGCCAAACTTATTTTAATTGTAAAAATTAACATCTTTAAATCCGAAAATGTTTATAATGAATTTTTATTTTCAGTATAATAACATTTTAAATTTTTATGGTTTTATTTTTAGAAATATTGATAAAAAATAAAATTTCTTTCGAAACGAAAGTATTTCGGATCACAACATACGAAAGAATTCTTAACGGAAATAAACTTACGAAACGTGCCATAATATATATATAACGATGTTTTTTGAACTCATTACGCATAGTAAAAATAAGAATCAGGCGTAGGAATATACATGTTTTTTTTTTAAAGCACATGAAATTTTTGAAATAGGTTCGAATATGCTTAAGCAAATAGTAAAAAGAGGCTCAAAAATATGCTTTAGCTTAAGCATATTTCTAATAAAATATACCTATTTCAATCATTTCTAAAAGTGTGCACGTTACTAAAGTTCTAGCAGATTTTAAATGTATGTAGAGTCCTGTTTGAATACGCTTTTCGAAGTATAGATCTTAGAAAAAATTGTTTTTTAATTTTGATAAGATATAAATTTAAGTATAAGATCGTATAGTTCAATCAGTTAGATATGTGATAATTCGCCGCAGAGATCCGGGTTCGCATCCCGTAGCCATTGTAACTTTTGTTCATTAAACTCTTTTTACTTAAGATAGCATTTTTTGACCTCCATGTTCTATATTACAGATCTTTCGTCACCTTCATAATAGTGACAACCTCTCTTCTGTTAGTTATTCTTTTAAGATTGAGTTCATTGTGCTTAATTCTACACGTTTCCCTTGCTTTACTAAGTTCTACTTAAGTTATGATGAAATGTACGTAAAACAACTTTTTCAAATAATATAAATCATTTTGCTTTAAATCTTGTGCTTTTTGCACTAGACATCTGTCCTAAACACTTTGTAATAATTTCTAGCTAACTCTGAGTCTAATATAATCATTTCTGAATTTAATTTCCCTGAGGCTCCTACAGCCTATTGTGTTCCATTAAAAGTAACTAGTTTTCGAGTACAGATATTAATTATAAGCAACTAAAGGTTCACATTACTATTCATTTTCCTGATATATAGAATCCTATTTGCATACGTATCTCTTTCTGTAAATTCTGTTTTATATAGTTTTTTAATTATATAATAAATAAATACTACTATTCACTTAGTTGAATGAACGTATCATTCAGTTAAGACATTTGGCCGCGGAGACCCAGGTTCACATCCCACTGTTTCACATATATTTCTTCTCTTTTTACTCTTTCTGATATCATTTACCTTTAGAGAGATCTCTCGTTCTTTATAATAAAGTATTTAATTGTTTATCACACATCCTCTTCATACTTTTTAAAAAGAAAGGCATACTGTTTATCTGTTCATTGAGAGTCCAACTTAACGGGATTTTATTGTATATATATGTATATATATATATATATATATATATATATATATATATATATATATATATATATATATATATATATATATATATATATATATATATATAAATTTTAGGTATATTTGTATAAACACTTGAAGAATCATTTGACAACATTTTTTTATAATTTTATTATTTATTATTTAAACTGTTAACAGTTAA